CCGCAGAGACTTGTTTTGGCTCCTAAAGAACCGTCATAAACTGCTCTTTAGACCAAGAGTAAGGTGAGTAAGACCGAGAGTAAGGTGAGAGATTAAGTAGTATTGTGGTTTATCCTCCTCAAGCTAATTGCCATATAGAGGCCACATTACCAAGGCCCACAAAGACAGGTTCGGCTCCCAAAGGAGCGTCATAAACCGCTCTACAGACCAAGAGTAAAGTGAGTTTAGGAAGAACGAAAACATGTTAGAGTGAAAGACAGAAGTAGTCGTGTTAGAAAGATAGCATAAAGAAAACGGACAGGATTGCACTCAATGTTAGGAGGTGCAATAGGTTGAAATAGGTTCTTTTCAAACATTTATTGAAGAACTTAATTTTAAGGTGAGAGATAAAGTTTAGGTAAAGGGCAACAACGTCTTTGTGGAAACGTTTGATCATTGCAACAAAAACCATGTTTGTACTGATTGTGGTTCGATATTTTAATAATCAAGAAAGATTTTATTAAATTTATATAATTTCACAATAGCAACATTTGTTCACAAACATTGGATCTACGTCGTAAAAACGATCAACTTTTTGCTGTGTATTTACATACATTGGATCAACGTTGATTCATATACATTAAATCAACGTCGAAATATATAGATTGGATGAACATTGGGTTTAGATCGTAAAAACACTCAACTTTTTGCGATGTTTTTACATACATTGAGCCAATGTAAATTAGCCAAATGTTTTTAGTTCCGTCGGTAACAATTTTATAATTAACCAAATGACATTGGAACCACGTTGGTTTTGCATTAGGAAAAAGAGCCGACGTTGGTTTGACATACGTTGACCCAATGTAACTGTGCTAGCTAGGTGCACGTACAATATATATATATATATATATATATATATATATATATATATATATATATATATATATATATATATATATATATATATATATATATATATATATATATATATATATATATATATATATATATGCAATATGTAGCATGCCGTGACATGAGCAATCAGGTGACAGGTGACAGCACACAGGCAGAATTTTGATGACATGTGCCATTTTGCAACGGACAATACAAGTACAACTTTTTTGGTTTGTTTCATTTTCTTAAGTCTGGTCCGTCTCAACGTCACGGAATTTTTTAAAAATTAAAGGAAGTATCCAGAAGTTTCCAGATGTTTCTAGAAGAAGCATCTGGAAGCATCAAGAAGTATCCAGAAACATTCAGAAGCATCCAGACGCATCCAGAAGTTTCCAGAAGCATCAAAAAGAAGCATCTATAATTTTCCAGAACCGGTTTACACAGGTTCATTTTACTATATAAGAGACATGTAAACCGACATGTAATTCAGTCAGTATATGGAAGTCAATCAGTCAGTATTATCAAGACAGTTTATCGAAGTGAGTTATGGAAGAACATCAATACAAGAAGTAAAATACAACAAGTTTTTCATTACATCAACACAGTCCGAATCCAACCAAGACGTTGTGTTCCACAGAGCATTATTGTATCATCACAAGGTAAATGTAACACGATAAACCTTGAGAAACGTGATTATTTATTTTTATTATTTTTATGACTTCAAGTGCAAAAATGGCTCCTGACAGTCTTGGATTGGAACTAAGAAAGAAAATTATTGGCGATTACGTAAGTGGAATTTCACAAAAAAGTATTTGTGATAAATATCTCGTGAAAAAATGGACCGTATCAAGACTATGTTCCAAATACCGTTCTACAGGGAAGTTGGCAGCAGATAACAAAGGTGGAAAGACCACGTTCCTCCACTTCTAGAGAGGATTCTATGTTCTTCAGATACGTCAAGAAGGATCCCTGGATACTATCAGTCGAGATACAAAAGCAATAAGAGCTGCCTGTATTGGACCGAACAATCAGACGACGTGCTGTTGAAGCCGAATTGTTTTCTCAACGCCCTGCAAAGAAACCGCTGATTTCACTAAAGAACCAGAAGAAAAGACACCTGTTTGCTACATCTTATATTGACTGGAATACATCTTATATTGACAGTGATGAATCGAAGTTAAACATTATTGGGAGCGATGGCATTATTTCGTGTGCGTCTAGCGGCCGGAAAACGCCTCGATTTACATTACTGCCATACGACCGAAAAGCATGGTAGAGGCAAAGTAATGGTCTGGGGGTGTTTTTATGTTAACGGTCTAGGTCCAATACATTGAATCGACTGAATAACGGACCGTTTCACAAATAAAAATATCCTGAAAGAATATATGTTACCTCATGCTGAATGGAATATGCAAATAAAATGTGTTTTTCAGAAAAACAACGACCCGAAACATACTGCAAAACTAGTCAAGCAGTGGTTTCAAGACAACCACCTATCGATGATGGATTGGCCGCCTCGATCTCCGGATCATAACCCTATCGAGAACCTGTGAGAGATTGTCAACCGCAGAATAATTTGTGAAGGTGTTCGTAATAAGGATCAACTGTTTGAACAAATCCAAAAGGCCTGGGCAGCGATTCCACAAAGTTATATTGATAACCTGATCGAATTTATGCCTCGAAGATGCAAGGCTGTGATCGAAAACAAAGAATTCGCTACAAAATATAAATAGCAAAATACAGCTTGGTCAATATTTTGTGATGTTGCACTTGTTTTGTTCAGAAGGAAATCAACATTTTTTAATACTTTTGATTAATTTATTAATTTTCGTGTACAAATATTAAACTTTGTGATGAATAAAACTTGAAGAACGTTGTCTCTAAACAGTTACATAGTTATTTCTCTAAATTGAAAAAAAAGCAGCACTTTTATATAAAGAAACTAAATCAGCAATATTTGGTTGCACTTGTTATGTCTGATACTGTAGGTTCTGAGCAAAAATCAATAAAACCATGTTTTCGTGAATGAGTATTTAAATGACATTACCATTTGTCAAATTTTCCAATACAACAAGTATTTAATTCTTGTTCAACAGTCATGGTAGGATGCAGATATATTTTAAGTAGCACTTGTTTTATTTTCAATTTTAATTTTCCTTTTTAAACTTATATAAACTTTTGAATTTAATTTAGAGAGATATGTCCGTAGAATTGCTTAATAAAATTAGCTCAAATCTGTAAGTTAATTTACGGACCCTTATATTGTTTTTAAAATATCAAAAACTTTGTATTATAAAATTTTATTAAAATCTGAGATGGTAGAGTGATGATGATTTTGGAAGTTAGACCGTTAGGCGTTGAATGACCAAAAAATCAAATGAAACACAATATTTATCAGAGTTAATTATCTTATTTACAATAACCAAAAACAGTACGTTCAATTTGATATTTTTTTATAATAAAAGGCAATAAGTTCGCGCCGTTAAAAATTCCTACAAAATAGATTTGCCAATACGTAACAAAAAAGATTAAAGTTTCAATTTATAAAAAACGCATCAAGAGGATATGAAAACAACTTATTAACTAATAAATAAAATATTTCTTCGTGAATTATAAAATTTAAAACAAGTATTTCAAAAATTAAATTAAAATAAAAAACTTTTTAAAAACTGACTTTTAGCGAAATGAAAGTTATACTATAAATTATATAAATGTATATGTTAGTACCTTAGTATATGTTAGTATACTAGGTTGGTTGAAAAGTTCGCGGAGCGGCACCTATGTTGCAGTAGTAGAAACAAATTTATAACTGTATTAAACGTATTCATTCTTCGTATGAACGCATAAAAAATTTCAAGTCGATATGTCATTTCAGTCTTTGTTTACAAGCTATTGAAATTAGACGTGTCATAGTATTTTTTAAAATGGAAAATATTGAACATCGTGCTATAATAAAATTCTTTGTGAAAAAAGGTTTAAAGCCCATGGAAATTCATAATGAAATGGTAAATGTGTTGGGTGATGATGCTCCTTCAAAAACAACAGTATGCAAATGGGCTGCGGAGTTTCAACGTGGGCGTTCAAGCCTTGAAGATGACCCTCGCTCTGGACGTCCAAAAAGTGCTACAACTGAAGAAACGATTAATGCTGTGCATGACATGGTTATGGATGATAGACGATTGACCAAACTTGAAATTGCTGAGGCTGTGGGCATCTCAGATGAACGGGTATTACACATCTTGAACGATGAATTACGTCTGAGAAAGCTGTTGGCAAGATGGGTGCCGCATTCGCTAACTCTGGATCAGAAACGCACTCGAGTAAAACTTTCTCAAGAACATTTGGCCCGTTTTCAAAAGAGTAAAACAGATTTTGTGCGTCGATTCGTAACCATGGATGAGACTTGGGTTTACCACTATGATCCGAAGCTGCGACAACAAACTGCAGAGTGGACAGAACCCGGTTGTTCAGCTCCGAAGCAAGTGAAGGCGTCAAAATCGTCAAAGAAGGTTATGGCATCAGTTTTTTGGGATGCGAAAGGAATTTTATTAATAGATTACCTTCAAACCGGTAAAACGATAACAGGTGAATATTATAAAAATCTTTTGGACCAGTTGGATAAAAAAATTCGTGAGAAAAGACCTGGTTTGCTGCATAAAAAAATCATTTATCACCAGGACAACGCACCTGCTCATATCAGCGATGTTGCAAAGGCGAAATTGGTCGAATTAAAGTACGAACGCTTGGAACATCCACCCTATTCACCAGATCTGGCTTCGTCCGACTTCCACCTCTTTCCACATCTCAAAAAATTTCTACGTGGAAAGCGTTTCTCATCACATGAAGAGGTCATTGCAGCCGTAAATGGGTATTTTGAAGGCCTTCCGGAATCGCACTTCAGAGATGGGATACATGAATTAGAGAATCGTTGGAAAAAGTGTATTGCTCTTAAGGGAGAATATACTGAAGAATAAAGTCATTTTTTGAATCATAAAATTGTTTTTTCATTTCCGCTCCGCGAACTTTTCAACCAACCTAGTACCAAATACTTTTAGGATTATATCAATAAAATAACAATAATCATAAAATATTTAAATGAATCATTAAGATAATAAGTTGAAATCTGTTTAAGAATGCTTTTCTTCCCGTGTGTTAGTGTTACCTTTGCTTTTAGTTTGAATGAATAGAGTTAACTTAGTAATTATTTTTTGGACTTTTTGCGTGCAAATATAAGCAACAAACAACAAAATTCCTTTTGCAGATCTAAAAACCATGTATATAACTGCAACAATGGTATTAAAGGTCTCTTC